TTTCAGGCTGAAAAAATATTTTACATTACATATTAATAACAGAGTTCCCACGGGTCCTTGAAATTCTTGAAAGTTTGTGAATTAGAAAAAAAATTTCACTGCCCTGGAAAGTTTGTGAAAACGGCCAAAAATTACACTTCTCCTTGAAAGACCTTGAATGTTTTTTGGGGATTGAAGTTCTCTATGCACACAACTGATTTTCATCATCTGTGTAAAAAAACAAAAAAACTTGCATTTGTTGCAGTGGATAAACTGACGAGCCATAGTCATAGCTTTACCCAATCAGAGCAGAGTAGGGTGGGTTGTTATTTTTGAGCCCAGGTGAGAGCACCACATCTCCTCCTGTCCTCACCGAGCGTCTGGGCATGTTCACATCCCCTCCTCCCAAACTGAGCGGCCAAACCTCCCAGGACATAATTACATGTCCATGTATTGTGGATATGAATGTAGGGTATACATTTAATCCACTTTCTTTCATTGATTTCTGACTCAACAATTTCTATGTTGTTCAGTTTTCATTTAATTTACATGAAATTAAACCTGTTTATTGGTAACATAAGCAGGGTAGCAGTAGGTAATTGCCGTCACATGTGGTTCTTGAATTTGTGGAAATTGGTACTGGAAAGTCCTTGAAAGGTCTTTGAATTTGATGTTGACCAAGGTGTGGGAACCCTGTAATAATAAAAACAAATGTACTTTGAATCTAACTTGGAATGACTTTTTCTCTTTGTACATATTTGTTTTAAATCAGATCAGTGTTAAAGGTCTTTTTATAATTATTGTGCCTTATTTAAACATACGTTAATTTGATAAATTGTTTTGATATATTTTAGGAAATGTTTGCTTACTAAGAGTTTATTTCAAATAATATAATTTACGGAGTCATTTGGTTTTGGTCTTGTTTATTTATGTTATGATCTTAAACTTTTCTCACAAGTCTTTATCTCCTGGCACRTTAGTGATTATTATCGGTTATCAGCTGTTAGAAGGAAAAAGTTATTTGTTATCGATTCTAGTTATCGTGCATCCCAGGAAATTATTTAAAACATGTTTTGTTTTTGTAGAAAACACGGGTTTGTGAACATGGCCTCTGAAATGGACATGAACAAAGCTTTGACGTTGAATGGAGAACATGTCCTTGATAAACCCATAAAGATCAACAAAGCAAAGGTCAAAAACGACGACAAAAAGGAGACATGTCCTGCAGTGGACAAAAAAGGTAAAACACAATGATTTAAAATAAAATCTATTTAAAGGGATCCATGATTAGTTGTAACATTAGACTTTATTCGATAAACATATATTTTAACTGTAAAATAAAGACTATAAAAATACTGTAGGTTGTATAGTTTTTATAATTTTTAAACTAAAAGTTTAAAAATATATTACACGGACGGAGCCATTTTATTTACACGCAAAGCATTCTGGATAATTGAGGCTGCTAGCGAGCTATATCCACCCTGAAGGTTAATCTTGGACAATATCTGACGATTGACTCTTTTAAATGAAACCAGAGAGCATTGACAGAGAGGAGAAGGTAGAAATGACTCGGCCTGCAACTGAAAATATGGATGGCTGGACTTCAGTTTAGCTTGTTTATAAGGCAATATAGCATTGGCGCTAATGCTAGAGCTAACAGGCTAAGCTGAGGTTCTTCTTCCATGAAGCTGCTCTGTTGTCCTCCATCCATATTTTCAGTTGCAGGCTGAGTCATTTCTTACCTTCTCCTCTTTGTCAACGCTCTCTGGTTTCATTTAAAAGAGTCAATCGTCAGATATTGTCCAAGATTAACCTTCAAGGTGGATATAGCTCGCTAGCAGCCTCGCACCGATGACCTATCCACATCCTCCTTTACCCAGAATGCTTTGTGTGTAAATAAAATGGCTCCATCCTTGTTAAAATATATTTTTAAAAATTTACAAAACTAAACAGCCTACAGTATTTTTGCAGTATTTATTTTACAGTTAAAATAAATGTTTATCAAATAAAGTCTAATATACAACTAATCATGGATCCCTTTAATAATCATTTGGTCTTTCAAATACAAGAGTTTCCATTTTTGGTTCCTCAGCTTTGTTTTGTTTGGTCATATTGTTTAAAATATATGTATTTTTTCAGGTCTGGTCCAATTCTTCCTCCAAACACATCTTGAGGTGTAAATATATTCTGTAATACAGAATTGTTGATTTATTTTGAAATTCTCCTTGGGTTGTCTGTAGGGTTCAGCTCAGAATTTCAGTTCAGTTCAGTCCAGTCCACATCTTATAGTCCTCCTCTGTCCAAGTCTTTGAAATCTTCCAGGAAGTGGTTTTGCATTGTTTTGTTGTGAAAACAAAAGTTCTGGAGAAGTTGTGACCCTAAAGGCAGCATATGTTGTTCTTAAATCACTGCAACACTTGCCTGGCTTTAGGGGTGTCCCGATCCGATATTGATATCTGATATCGGTCCGATATCAGCCAAAAAACGAGTATCGGATTTTATTGGCCTGCAAAAAAAATGTCCGATATAAGTGCTCCGATATATGCAGTTCAATCCAGCAGTTCATTGACTCCGCTCCAGTGTGCTTGGATCCTGCATGTAGCGCTCACGTGATCACAACAACATGCTGCGCTAACAAGTTAGCAAGAATGAGTTGCAGCTAAGTTCAAAGTTGTCATGCACAAGTTTTCCGAGGGGGAACAGAACCGTGTACGTTTTAAACCGGAGCGACAACTACTCTCCACCCTGGCAGCAGCTTTGTGGTTCGGCTCGGTTCGTTCGGCCTCGGTCCAGTGACCGCACACAGCCGCGCTGTTTTAGAACCTCCTCTCTGGTCCAGTCGGTGGTTCTAAGCTGGCAGAAGTGAGGACAGCACGCTTACAGTTTTGACATCCCATGGATTAGCTCTGGGTCGATGGACAGAAGAAAGGAGAACGCAGATTTTGTTTCGAAATACAGTATAAGCGCGACATGATGAGAGCAGTGATAAAATCTTCTCCCTGCAGGAGAGAGAGGCTAATCTCCACATGATGCTCAGACTGTAGAAAGTGGAAATACAGCAGTAAGAAAGGTAGCCATCAATTTAAATAACTGACTAATTCTTACTATTTATTTTTTGCTCTAGTTGTTAGAGTGATGTTTAATCTGTTTACACACTTGTTTGAGTGAAGATTAAGTGCAATGATCACGTTGTTTTGATTACAGTCAGTAAAATTGGAGCTGTGGACTCAACTTTGAACAGAGGTTTTGTTTTGTCCCCACCTTCAGTTTTTTCCCACCATAAAGCAGCACCAGGCTGACGGGTAGTAAAACAATAACCGAAGTGATTTTGAATTGTTATTTTATACTTAAAAGTACATTTAGTTTTTATTATGTTTTGTTTTTCAGGGTCTTCTAATTTATTTTATTAAATTGTAGAATGTTCTTCAGTTTAAAATGTATGTGATCCGTTGGTTAAAAATAAATGGGTAAATTTTTCTCATACCTACTCTTTTTCACTGTTTGACCTGATCAAGACTTTTCTAAGATTTTACATTACAAAATAGGTAAAAGTGTGTGACTTGCACTGTTATGGTAACGGGTCAATATCGGTATCGAACAATTCTCAAAGTTGTAATATCGGTATCGTATTGGAAGTGAAAAAGTGGTATCGGGACATCCCTACCTGGCTTCATACTGAAGAACACAGACCCAATTCTGAATCATCACAAAGCAAGGTTTTTGGACTATGTTGTGTCTCAAAGGTCTGGATTGATTCTTTGAGTTCAGTTCAGATTTTCTGGTCTGTGATGATCCGTCCCAGAATTCTTAGGGTTCATAGAAATCAGTGCCACCTGTGAAAAGATTTACATGTAGCTTATTTTTTACAACCAAATGCTTTATTGTGATCTTTGTGGAGCTTTTTAATGTGGTTCTGTCTGTGGCATTGAATTAGAGACCTCTTTGCACTACTTTGTCCACTGTCTGGTTCTGAGCTGTCAAAGGAAAACAGCTCTTGGGGACCCCTTTATGGATCCTAAGTAGCTCAGAACACTGAGTGTTTCTAACCTTGTGTCCTTCATTTGAGGGACAAGAAGGTTTGAATAAAGTTCAGTGTCTTTTTGGATAAAGTAATTGGCCCACTTCAGAGGCCCCCCTCATGGGTTCTTTATCCATCACCACTCACCACAAACCATTAACCATCAGGTTTGTGATCCAGATTTGTTTGTCAGAAATTCCAAGTGTCCAAATTTATACTTTAGATAAAGAAACATTTTCATCTTTTCTTTTCATCTTTTTGGTGTAGAAAAAAATTGAAACTGAAGGTTTCACTGTACCAACTTTCTTTGGAATGTGTTGCAGGCTTCAGACAAAAAAAAAAACATATTTTACTGAAATGTGAAACGTGATTGAATGAAATTAGGCTGACAAACCAAAGCATGAATGATCTTGGTTTAGTTTTGTCTGGACTCAGTCTAAGAGTCAACACATCTTTTTCTTTCTGTGCTGTCACGTCTTCTATTGTTTGGTATGAGTTTTTATATATAACTACTAATGTAAAGAGCCAAAACTTAGAACGTTGCTGTTTTTGTCAGACAAAGATGACCGGTGTTTGTTCCTGAAGAATGTGCCATACGACACATCAGTAGAAGACATCAAGAAAGTCTTCAGCAATGCTGTTGCTGTTCGGTTTCCTGGTGGAGCCAAAGGTCCAGACAAAGGGTGAGAGTTTCAAAAAAAAAAAACCTGCTTTAATGTTTTTGTCTTTTATTAATCTGTAAATCATCCAAACATGATCTGTCTTTAACAGCATTGCCTTTGTGGAGTTTAAAAATAAAGAGATCGCCCAGAAAGCGCTTGAGAAAAAAAAAGGTGCTCAAATCCATAGTCGGAAACTGATTGTGCACATTGTGAGAGAAAGAAAAGTTCCTAAAGATCCAGCTGGCAGGAAAAAGACAAAAGGTAAAGCTGCCAGTGAAGTGACTGAACAGTGGACCCCCATGCCTCAGAGGTCTCAGACACAGATTTTTCATTAGAACCTAGCAAGAAATTGTTGGTGAAAACCACAGTTTTTTTTTTTTTTTTTCACTTTTTTGTTGTGGCGTGTCTGGTACTGTGATTTATTTAAATTGTAATTTAAAATGTTTCTGTAGAACCAGGATCCCAAAGAAAATTCCTTGTGTGTTCAAATGTACTGGTCAGTAAATGGTTCAGATTTTTTTTTGACCACATCCTAATTTCATCCAGGCAAAAAGACTTGAACCCTCTGGCATTTTACGGGTTCACTGTTTATTTGAAGTGATTCTACATTTTTATCAGTAATGAAAATGATCTTTATTCACAGTTGGTCGTCCAAATAAAATCTTATTTGTAAGTAATCTGCCTAATGAAGTGAGAGAGAAACAACTTCAGAAAGTCTTTCAGGAAGCGGTCCAGATCAGATTACTGGAAGCCAAAGACAAACCTCATCGGTACGTCAGCAGGTGGAACACTGAGTCGTTGGGATGTTTTGAACTTATAAAAATGTTTGGGAATATTCTCCACAGATTCGCCTTTGTTGAGTTTGCAACAGTGGAGGATGCTGAAAAGGCCCTGCAGTCATCCAAAAATATTAAGATCTGCAACAATGTAGCTAAAGTCGACTTCTGTCGCAATAAACCTAAACCTGGGAGTGATAAAGGTATTTTTGATAATTAGCAGTTATTTCTAATTAAATTTTAATCTGATTTTTTTCCCCTTTAAATAAACTTCTTTTTCTTTTACCATGTTCTGATAAAGTTTCATCAAAAACTCTGTTTGTGATGGGCCTCGCTGCCAAGACCACTGCAGAAACACTGAAAAGTGTTTTTGAAGGAGCCGTCGATGCAAAGATCGCCAAGTGTAAACCTACAGGAGTTTCTAGAAGGTTGCTCTCATTCACCATTCTTCCTGTTATGGCAAACCTGTGTCTTGGATTTGTTTTTTATAATTTTTTATTTTTTTAACTCAGGTTTGGCTTTGTGAGCTTTGAGAGCGAAGAGAGCTGCAAAGCTGCTAAAGATGCCATGGAGGACTGTGAGATCGACGGCAGCAAAGTGACTGTGAGGTTCTCCAGGAGTAAAGTGGGTCTGCAGAGTACCGGAGCGGGCTCTGCGGCCACTCAGAGGAACACCGGAAGGAAAAGATAAAAGTACATAGCTAGTTGTTGATAATAAAATCTCATAAAATGAACTGATCCTTTATGATCAGTTTGACGAACACTGATATCAGATGAGTGAACTGGAAAAAAACGTGAAAAGGGAGGGGTTTGCTGTGTCCTAATTCAGGGGCTGCATTCTTCGAAGGCTGGATTTGAGCTGAGTGAAACCAACCCCTTCCAAAAAATGAACCACAGAAAATAAGGCAAATAGGCTGAGTGGGTATTGCCTTGTTTGTGCGGGTTTGTGCACTTGAAATTGTTTGTGTTGCTATGGGTTTTTTTATATCTTACACGTTATAATTTCGGACGATCACGTGTCCGTGACGAATGTGCTAGACAGTCAGTGGGTTGTGAAATTCGTTGTCACAGACGTAAACAATTCAGGCCAAGTCACGTGATCATCCGAAATTATAACGTGTCATATAAATTATAGCAGCACAAACAGCCGTTTCAACGGCACAAACCTGCTCAAAGCACTACAAAATTCGACTAGTTTGGTTCATTTTTGGTTCTTTTTGGAGCGAGCGTGTGGGATGGTGATCCCTGAATGACCCTTACAAATAATCTTTAATATATAAAAAACCACAGTAGCACAAACGACAATTTCACAAATAAACTTTAATATATTAAAAACCACAGTAGCACAAACGACAATTTCAAGTGCACAAACGAAACACTAAAAACTCAGCCTATTTGCCTTTTTTTTTCTGTGGTTCATTTTTTTGGGAGGGGTTGGTTTCACTCAGCTCTGGATTTGTCATCCGCTTACATCACAGCAACAAAGGCTGTCCAAATTCAAAGACTTTTACAATTTCGGCCGACAAATGCATCCTCCGTTTTCTCCGAAGATGGATCCTTCTCGGCCCACCATATCCCATGATGCATTGCGGGCCCACCTGAAATGTTTTTCTTGGAATGGCTGACAAAGGGAGAGAAAGGAGAACAGTTTTAAATAAAAGTCTGGCCGTATAAAAATTAAAAGTTGTTATGAGCGGTGGTTGTGTTAAAGCTTTTGTCATTTGTATAGACATGTTTTTTTAATATTGTCAAATCAATGAGCTCGTACGGTGAAATGAACAAGCACAAACACCGGGTTCATTAATTATTCTAATATTATCTAAGGCTACGTTCACACTGCAGGCAAATGTGACCCAAATCCGATTTTTTTTGCCCCATCTGACCCATATCCGATTTTTTTATGACAGTCTGAATGCGACAAATACGATTTTTTTCAAATCCGACCCAGACCTTTTCAGTATATGGTTTTAAATCGGATGCATATCTGATGTTTTCAAAGTGACTGCAGTGTGAACGCTCATGCCGCATTATATCTGATTTTTTTCATCAGGGAGGAGGGGGTTAAGGGTCGATAAGACACTAAACTTAAGTCATGCTGTTTATAAATCTGTAGCTCCAYGTGTTTACAGTGTAGCAGGAACTTAAAGAACAGTGCCACATCAGAACTTGAGTCAACAATTACTCATCCCCCATGTCTACAGAGAACAATGACTTCTTTCATTATCTTCAAACCCTTTTTTGTTTACTATCTACAGGTGTTAAAATAAACAGAACATTGCAACCTCCAATTGATTAAGCCCTGTTGTGAGACCTCAAAAATGGCCGTTTATCACAAAAGGACTCACCATTTGCCAGACTTAGTCTCCCCAAAGTGGCTTTGCTATCTATAACCCCTTTTGAGACCAGATCTGCTGAGATATTGCCAACCAAGGAAGCTTCAAAAGACACATTTGCCTACTATCTCATTTATGGTTTTAGAGCACCACCAAAAGGCTGGTTTCATAATTACATCACGTCTTTCTGTTGTTTGTCATCTGATAAAAGAAAAGAAGCATTGTATTTTTCTATCATGATTCAATCATTGTGATAATGCCCTGTTTTAATTACTTCACAAGTAATCATTCTGTGTGTTTAACAAATTTAGCAAAGTACACTTCGCTGCAGCATGCAGAACGGGGCGGTGACGGACCTTTCCGTCAGTCCCATACCTTATATGGAAATGGGACGATTACATTCCGAACATGAAGGGGGCGCTAGTGACACTATTTTCTATCGAACACTTTCAACATTAAAAATACAAATTTAATNCTTCTTCCTTTGCTCTCTTAATCCCGCGTCTTTAAGGAGCAACCTTCATTTCCGGAATGCAATAGTCCCATTTCCATATAAGGTATGGGAATGACGGAAAGGTCTGTCACCGCCCCGTTCTGCATGCTGCAGCGAAGTGTACCTCAATTTAGCAGTAAGGACCAGTAAAAAAAAATAGATCATGTGACTGTTTTCAGCCAATCCGGAGTTTGTACAGTCAGGACAAGAGATAACATTGTGTTAGTTTAGTTTAGTAGAGTTGAAAAGGAAAGAGAAGCAGAGAGAGAGGACAGGAGTCCAAGCTCCATTTTTCCCCTTTGGGGACATTTATTATTATTTTTTATTTGTTTTCTTTATTTTCTGAGGAATGGTCAGTACAGACAGGTGCAAGCAGAGAAGTAGGATCAAGCAGTGGTAGTGAAGGTGAGGAGTCTGGAAATGTTGCTGAGGAAGGGAAGCAAAAAAATGCCTACAGATACCAAGAAGCTGTGTGCACACACAGAACCAAGTATAACTGGATGCTTTGGCAGCTATCATAGAAAATAGTCACAGAAATGAGCAGCAAGCATGATAATATATAGAAAAGAAATAGCCTTTATTGTCCTGCAGAAAGGAAATTCAGGTGTAACAGCAGCAGCAGATACATCAAGTCACAATAATATATTGCTATACATCAATAATAGTAATAATATTAAAATAGAATAAAAAAATTTAAATGAAATGCTGTACATGGCAATAAAAATAAGATACTGTGCAGGAAAATAAAAGAAAAGTCATGACAGACTCATGTTCCAGGGGTGTGTGCAACTGAGCCAAGTTGGGTCATTTCCAGCAATGTGCATAATGTGCAAGTGTAATAAATATCGGAAAGGGCAGAATATATACAGTATAGTGTTTCAGTACAGAATAATAGTAGCACAATAATAACATTCTATAAGATACTATGAGAATATGCTCAGTTCAGACACCTGACAATTATATATATATATACACACACACACACACACACA